CCTTCCTTCCTTTCTTCCTTCCTTCCTCCCTCCCCCTTCCTTGCTTCCTTGTTGGCAGTACTGGAAGTAGAACCCAGGGCCTACTACATGCTATGCAAGTGCTCTACTCTGGAGCTGTATCTCTAGACCTTTTTAATTTTTAATTTTGAGACAGTGTCTCACTAAGTCACCCAGGCTAGGCTGGAATATGTGGCCCTCCTGCCTCAGCCTCCCAGAGTGCTCAGATAGGGCAATTTTCTACTATGGCCATGGTCTGCTTCTCACTGGATGAGCTAAGGGTTGCTGTGCCCTGACCTCTCTTGGGTGGGGGTAGAACTTGTGTGGACTGTGCGTCCCTCTGGTTTGCTTGAATGGGCTGCTTGCTTTATGCCTGCTGCTTGCAGACCTGTGTTGTGTCTCCCGCCATGCCTTCATTAGCACGCGTCCTCACTGTCATTGCAGAGTGAGACACTGTTCCTTTTCTCAGGCTGACTGTTCTTCATTGCCGAAACACCTAAGCGTTGCTTCATCCTTCCACCTCCCCACTTTCCCAAGCAAGTTTCTAAAAGCATCTTTCAAAGTCAGACAAGTGCAGATACTGAGCATCTTGTCCCCTCTGTCCCTAGCTCTGACCATGGTCAGCCAGCTCTTCAGGGCTCTCCTGGCTGGCATCCCCTGAGCACTGCCTGTGTATTAGGATTTGTGTGGACAAAGACGACTCTCTGCTTAGAATGTGCAGTTTGGTTGAAATACTCAAATATAATAAAACCACATTTCTAAAGTTTTCTAAATTAATTTTTAAAATTAGGCTTCTGGTTTCACTAGTTGCAATTGATTTCCCCTGTCGTCTTCTTCTTCTTCTTCTTCTTCTTCTTCTTCTTCTTCTTCTTCTTCTTCTTCTTCTTCTTCTTCTTTCTTCTTCCTTCTTTTTTTGGTGGAACTGGGGATTGAACTCAGGCCCTTGCGCTTGCCAGGGAAGCACTTATTCCTCTGAGCCATCTTCCCGGCCCTCCCCTGTCTTCTTATTTACCCATTTCCCTGTTTCTTAGTTCACTTATGGGGTTGTCTAAAGCCCACAGAAATTTAGTATTTATTTATTCACCTAGTAAATATTTATTGAATTCCTATTATATCATAGGCAAGGGTAGGACAGTAAAGTTTTCTTGAAATTTACATTGTTTCTTTCTATAGATAAGAGATTTGCTCTCTAGAACCAAAAGGCCTGGGGGCCTAAAAGTCAGGGAGGATCAGCACCTGGGCTTTTATGTGGAAGGCCTCAAGTCTGTGCCTTGTGCGAACTACGCACAAATTGAAAAGCTGATGGAACAAGGAGCGAGAATCAGGACCACAGCTTCCACCAACATGAACGCCAGCAGCAGCCGGTCCCACATGGTCACCACCATTCGGTTCAAGCAGGTAAGTGCGGTGAATGACCTAGTCCTACATTCCCGTAGCAGTGACCTCTGCCAAGGTGCCAGTGGCATCATACGGTGGATGTTATGGAATCTTCTAGAATCTTCTAAATTGAGTTGTGGGTTAGGGTGGTCACTGTTAAACTATAAAGTCAGAAATAAAAAAAAGAGGTATCTCCCCCACCCCAACATCTATGTCCTGTCCTGGCCTAAGGTGGCCCATGATGGTAGTAGGGTGGTTCTACAACCTACCACACCCCAAGATGCCCACAGTTGGCTGTTTTCCCTGAAGTAAATTCTATGCTCTGATAAAAACTTTTGGGTCTACATTGACTCAGGAGTAAACTGAAGATTTTTAGAGCAACTCCCTGCTTTATCTTGGAGAATTATGTTAGAAACAGACCTGTGCACCCCTGGTATAAAGCCAAGTTTTCAGAGCTGAGGCTTGGGCTCAAGATACTGCAGTATATCTTGGCTCCTAGAAGTACCAAGATAAATTCTTTAGAATCAAGTAATCCACTAAGAAAATCAGTACTATACTGTTTGGAACAAACACTCCACTAAGTAAAGTCTGTGATAAATGAGAGTGGACTTTTCTCCTCCACCTTCCTTGGTGGGTGTCAGGGAGTGAGCTACACAATATCCTCCGTTTGATCTAGAAATGATCATTCCAAATTCTGGGTGAGAATACAGTTAGCACCCATTGTACCACTTCCATCCTCTAAGTCACAGTACCTGCAATAAATACAGTGGTGATCAGTGAAAATTATCTTGTACTCACGAAGGGTAATGGACAAACACTGGACCGTGTCTGGCTCTTTCATTTAACTGTTCTAAGTCTTTTGAGAAATAACTTCATCTCTGACTTCAGTTTCCTCTTCTATAAAAATGGGATGAATAGTTTCTACCCAGGAAAATTTGGAGGCCCAATCAAAATACTGTATTTTAAAGAACTTTGTGAACTTTTAAGTGCTATCCCCTTGCCCTTACCATGTTAGTAAAATGCATACACTTTATGCATAGGGAAACTATTAGTGAGGGCTAGGCTTCTTAGCTCCTGCCTGTGACCGCAGCCATTCAAGAGGCTGAGCGAGAGGATGGCAAGTTGGAGGCCAGCCAAAGCAAATACGTGAGCTCCTGCCTTTAAAAAACTCAAATAGCTAGAGATGCAACTCAGCTCTGGAGAAATTGCCTCGCATATTCGAGGCCCTGGCTTCAGTCCTCACTACCAAAACCAAACTAACCAAAAACTCCTGTCTATGTGGTTTGCTATGCTACTTATTAAGTTCTTATATTAGGAACAAGGAGGGGCCGGTGTGATGGCCCAGTGGAATAA